GTGATGGGAGATGGGGTAGAAGGGAAATGAAGAGGAGCTGGAGCCGATCTGGTAGACAGCACTGATGGTAAGCGGAGAAGAGACGAGCCCAAGGTACTTCTTACACCCTGTGTGCTAGTGATGGTGTCTCGTGTGTTGAAAGCCTGTGAGTGACCTTGTTTCAGCAGGTTTGGTGGTAGCCGTGCGAGATGAGACTTTGGGCTGCAAATGTTGTTAGGGACGGATACGGATTTGGACACCTTTTCAGAGACCGAGTCACTGAGGCAGCGTGGAAACAGTGGCTTCCTGAGCATTGGACGCATGAAATCCAATGAGATCCTTTGGGGAGACTGGCAGCTCTTCTCTGGAGAGTCTCACTCCGCCTTCGATGTCACTCTCGCTGCTTGGACCGCTTGGGTGTGAGCGTGCGTCAGACACGTAGGGGACCTTCCATTTGCTGCCCTGATCAAGGTTGGAATGGGCGAGCGCTTGCTCATTGCATACAGAGATTCAGAGAAGACAGGTGCAGGTCGACTGTTTGAGCACTACTGCTTCGCCATGCTTCGCCGAGAATTTGATGCCATACTCTTCACTGTGCATTTTCTGCTCAGGCTATTTGGTCAGTGGGCAGTTGGACAGCACGGACCTCACCGGCTTCAAAGACGCTTTCCATGCAAGACTCAAGACCATTTCTCTGTGTTCGTGCAAACTGCCCCAGATCTTGTGTTCATTGTTGTTAGGTACAGATTGGGCAGCCATACCTGTTGCACAAGAGCTTGCAGCAGAACCTGGCTTGCAGACAGTCCAACACCTCGCAAAGCTATTCGCAAGCCGCGGTGAGCGGCAACAGCTTCCATGCGTCCGAACGTGAACTCACAACACCAGCAGTCCTGCAACCCGCGGTTCAATCCTCGCAAGGCGGGTTGCTTTGGTGGCATTGTCAGCGTCTCGCGCTGTGTGCCTTCACGCCACTGCCGAGAAGAAAGCAGGTTCGCTGACTGGATGGGCTTTCGCAGCTGAAGCGTTTAACTTATCACTCGTCTTTCACTTTTCTTGAGGGGGTTCAATCCAGAGCCTAATGGAAAGCGCTGCCAGGCCCGGATGGGATGTCTAAGTCATCAAACTCGGAGTCAGGTTCCCATGGAACTATGTGCAAGCAAATGCAAGGGCTCGGAAAAAAGATGTGAGGAACTCCAGAGTACACGTGACAGCATACGGACCTTTACATCGCATCGGCTGTGAGAGCGCAGCTGGCTTAATCGAATAACCATTAAAAGACCTAGTGTCCAGGACCATCTTGAGAGAATCCTGTCACTTCGCAAGAGCCTTCTGCGTGGCCAAGCAGGTGTTTCCAGGTACATGTTGTGTCGAGCACATTTAAGTGGAGCCTGTTTGGTGCGATTGCAGAAATGCATGCACGGACAAGGCCGAAGATGCCTTTTCTGACACTGTCAGGAAATGCATACCTGGTGCAAGCGCATGCTGGTGGAATTAGTCTGCTCGGCAAGTACCATTTCGGAGCTTCTCCGCCGCAATTTGGCCTTACTGCACAGATCCCAGAATGGTCAACCTGTAGTCAAGGGCGAGGCGCCGATCTCTCACATGGCGACAACGAAGCTGAGCGAGGACTTGCAAAGACACGTTAGTGCTAGTGGCTAGCCCACATTGCCCAGACCCGGTGAATGCTTAGTCACAGGATTCCTTCGTGGTCGCTTACCGTCAGCAGCCCCCAGACAGTCGCGAGATTGGTCTCACATCAAAGGACATGGTTGGATGTCGTTGTCCGGTCTAGATTCGTGTTGATGATACATGATTTCGCTTCGTCGTGTTGCGGTGGTCTTGCAAGGAGCTGTCTGCCACTTGGATGGGAATATCCGATGCTTGGCCGGTGAAAGAAGAAAGCTGCAGTTCGTCCACAGCATGTCAAACTGAAACGCCCCCGATCTCACAAAGGATGATGACTTTCTCATTGTTAGCCCGCACCAGTTCACACTGGAGCCAGATCGTCCGGACATGCACCACCGAGACGTTGCGGCAGACCCAGCATGCAGATTGTGTGTAGTTAGAGAAATCAATCAGCCTCAGTGCTGGTGACGTTTCTCTTTGACCCGTGGCATCCGACATTGATTGGTACAAGCCTCCATTTGTTTTTTTTTAGCATACGTATGGATTCCTGCATTTACACCACTTGAATCCAATTTTGGGAATTTGTTATGCAAAAATTACTTCAACACAGAGTTGGTAGTTGAGAATAGATGTCTAACGCGAGTTTGAAATAAAACCAACACGAATTACCAGTGCTAGTAGAAGGTCATCGATGATTTCCAGGGTTTCCAACCCGAAAGCCAAATGATGCAGACCTAGAGATCTTGAGCGAATCCATCGTCGAATTCTGCACCAGCCAGATTGGAATCCAGCTAGAGTTACAGTAGTTTAGTTGGAGCTAGAGCAGCAGTGCCGAGATTCCTGGGTGTAATGGTCGGCTTGTGAGTGTACTGCAGCTCGTTATAGGCCTTGCCTCTTCCAATGTTCTTGCGTCACAATCGCCATTACAGAAGAACGCTTCCCGCGTTCTGGAATGCCAATTAGGCTCCCGCAACAGTCCGGTGTGAGCATTTTAAACACCAGGGCTTCGGTTTTGGGATCACTCCTGGGCTTCCATGTGCAGAAGCGTGTTCCTCTGAACAGGAGCCAGGCTTGAGCCTTGCGAGGCAAACCCTTGGTGCCTGGCTCTCCGTCCCAAGCCAAGACATCCGGGCTGGGCACGTCGTCCAGCACGTTCGGCTGAGTTGGCCCCTTTGCTTGCCATGTCAGCTTTCCAACAGCAAATGCCATCCGGGTTGTCCAAGTATTTGGCCTGCAACTCCCTGCACGGGCTTTCCAAAAATTCTTTCACTTCCGTTGGTGGCAGTGTTGTCAAGCAGGCCACAGATCTACGCATCGAAACAGGCCACCCGAGCATGGTTTTTGTGAGTGGCACGCTTCGCAAAAAAGGCATGACACGCACTCTCGACTTCCACCATCTCCCTGTCTCTTTTCATCGATGGTGGAGACCACATCCCGGCACATCCCACTCGTAGCATGTTCTCAGTCCTAGCTCCTTTCACCCTAGCCTGCGCGAAGAAATCATGGCGGCAATGTTTGTCCACCTTGGGCAACTCTGTCACTCCCCGCATATCGGGTGGTCTGGGGAGTAGCCAGATCAGACCGCGACACTCAACAACGAGGTTTTTCTTCGAGTGCCCACGCAGATGAAAGTCACGATGGTCAACTGCCTCTTCCTGAAGCCGCTAAAGTGTCAAGAACGCTTCATCATATCCTAGTGTCCTAGTGTTGCACCAGCTGGAATCGCCGGAATGGTCGTAAGCAGGGATACACACATCCGGACTGTTTTCAGGTTTTTGCACATCGCCGCACAGTCTGCTTTGCGTGAGTTGGTGTTTCGGTGCACATTGTCACTTGATTTCCGACTGAGGCATTGGTCTCTCAGAATTTGTTCGCCTACTCTTACTATTCCGGGTCGGAGAGGAAGACCAAGATGTCGCTGGTCCATGTTGATCCGGTATCGCATTTAATGAAAGCAGTTGGTGATCCTGTTGTGGCTTTGCTGCAATTTCAACTTCGGTTTCGTGTTTTGTTTTGTGCATCTCTGAACGTATTCTTGACTGGCTCGACTGGCTCTGTGGAGGTCCTCAGCACTGGCTACAACTCCTTGGTCGGAGCCGTGTCGCTACCCGCGGGACCGGCGACCCCGAGTACGTTCACCTATCTACAGCCTGCTGGCGCCAAGAGCATTGCAAAGGTGGGCCCCGAACCCCGAAGCCGTTGTGACGTTGATGTATGTTGATGTTTCCGATGTGCTCGGTGAATTCAGTCTGAAAGGTCTGCGGTGTGAGCTCGGAGGGCCGGATATCTGCTTGCAAGGATGTGAGCTGGGCAGAGGCCGTGAATGCATTGCCCGACCGCTGGTGATGGACATCTGTTCGTGTCCATGATGAGAACAGGCAGAGGTGGAGACCGCTACTAGCATCAAGCTGCCAGATGGTCGCTTGCTCTTTGCTTTTCAAAAAGAAGGCTACTCGCCTCTGGTGGCCATTACATGTTGTCAAATCAATTTTGTTGCTTGTGCGGCTGAGGGACTGTGCAGACTCGGTTCTTATCGGCGGAAGAAGCATCTGCCCAGGACAACTGTCACAACTGCACGTGTCTACAGCATGGAGCTTTCATGTTTTCCGATTCCAGGACATCAACATGGCCGTCGTCTGAGTGGGTACTTGTGTACTGTCATGCAGTTTTAGAAAAGCGTCGCTACATTGATTCCTGATCTGCAAGATAGTTCCGGTCCGATAGTTGGAGTGACAAGTGCAAGCAGCTCGGAGTCGTTATTGGTCCTGGTTAGTTCGCCAGAAACGGGCTTTAGTGCCATGTCATGCAGCTCGGCTCACAGCTCGACCAGAGTGCTCATGTCGACATGTCAAACCGGTTCCCAATTCACTAACAGTTTCGCATCCAAGATCCAGTTAGATGATGCACTCCTGAAGCAGTGATGCAGAAATTCGCTGTAGTTTCGCCTCTAACTCTTGCAAGCACAGATGATGATTAATAATGATGGTGATTTTATGGCGAGTGGGTGGCACACGGCTTCTGTTGGATGTGAGTGCTTGCTGTAAAGGACATGAATAAGCTCAATTGTTGAACTAGGTTGAGGGTGAAGACGTGTACAAACTTGAGCGCATGAAGAAGCCAGCATCAGGGGCACTTGCCTCCGGCAAGCGCCGAGAGCTTGTTTGTCGGACCCGCATCCGACAATCTTTGTTCTTGCATTGAGCGCAAAAGGCCTTACACAGCGGCAGCTGGAGTCAGCCATCTTGAGGCCAGTGTTTTCCTTCTTTGAACGCTAATTCGCAAACCTCAATTGCTTGATTGCCGCAGGCAATGCGCCGCCGGCCGAGATCGGCTTGATCGAAGGAGACATCTCTAAAGGTCTCAAGAGCAGTGCCTGGAGAGTGGGACTTCAAAGGATGGCGAAGGGTGTGAAGATCGTCTCGGTGCAGCCCTCCGCCGAGGTACCTAGAAGCAAACGAGGCAACCTCTGCTTTCCTGCGCCTGCTGCCAGGGCTTCCCAAAAAAATGGATCAGACGTGAGGGCAGGCGAATGACGATACGAGGTGCAGCAGAATGGTGCCTCAGTGGTGCAGGGCGGTTCATGCTTATATATACACGCAGCATCACAAGGCATTCAAGTTTTGAAAGAGTGACTCGTCAAAAACAGACGACTTGCGATCCGAGCCAGGAAGCTTGGTCTTCTTGCTTCATAGTTGAATGTCTAGCAGGTCCATGCAAGATCCATCTTCTTCAGGTACATACCACCGAAAGCAGATGGAACACGCAGCTCGCTTTGCCCGTTTGCCGGTGTGAGCAGCTGAGTTAAGCTGTTGTCGTTCAAAATCCCGGCCAGGAATGCTTTTCCTTCATGGTGGCAGCTATGTCGTTTATGCTCCGCAGGATGCGGTGTATCGCTCGCTGGCATCCCGATTAGCCTCTCGCTGTGGTGTGCTGGCTGGTATTAGCGCGCTTGCCTGTCATTGCTCATCCACAACTCAACCCAGTTCATCAGGCGGCAGGGAACGCAAACATATGATCACCTATGTGTTCATGGTCCATGTGTGCATAATCGCACGCTCAAGCAGGGAACTTCCAGACAAACCGAAGAAGCTCAGTGTGAGCTCTGCCTTGTCGAACTTATCGGTTGCATGATGATGCATGATGTGCACAAGGATCGTTAGTTTTTTTTTTAATGATGGTCTGTGAGGTTACAAGCAGGTACTTGGGTCCTGCACCTCTGGCAAGGCTTTTCGTAGCACTGCCAGGCTTGTGCGTGCTCTCCATTGACTACCGACTCGCGCCAGAGCACCTCTTTCCCGCGGCTTTTGAGGCGAGGCGTGCAGTCTTGCGACGGCCTTTTGCCGCATGCGCCTGTGTGACAGTCTGTGTGCTTGGAGGACGCATCCGTTGCATTGAAGTGGATACAGCAGCATGGACCACCTGAAGACGGAGGCAGCGCAGCGACGTAGGGATGAGGAGCAGTGCTGGCATGACAGAGCTTAGACACCTGACGTTATGCAGACTTCCACTCGGATTTAAACTTAGACATGCAATATTTGACTTCAGCTTCTTGCTTGACGCAAGATTTGAGGTGTTATTTTACAAACAGGCACCAAAGTCGCTGTGCGAGACATTTTGGCTCGGGTATGCTCGGGTCTGGGGTTAGGGAGGTGAAGCAGCGTTCGCGAGTGTTCGCAAGCGTGTGCAAGCGGATCGCGACGGTAGTGTGGGTCTTGAAATGCGCTCAGGGGCGTTGGCCGTGTCCGGGCATCAGATGTTTCCGGTCCTGCAACGCGTCCGCGGCGTGTCCAGGCACGTCCTGGGGCCTGGGGGTGTCGTCGCACGGTCCTGGAGTGCAGGAAGCCAGTGGAGAATTCTGCACGAGCGGGTCGTGTTCTCGCGGGTCACGCGATAAGGCTCGTCTTCTCAAGTTGTCCTTCATTCCACGCGCTTTCAAGCACACGTTTTGACACTTCGCAGAAAGCGCCACTAGCTTAGCTTGACCTCGGTCAAGACTCTTCTTTCCTGGATCTTCATAGCGTTTCATAGCGCTGCAGAGTACTCTCAAAGCTTTTCGCAGTTTGGGTTTTACTTACGGTGTGTCACACTTACTCTATGTCGGAAGCTCCATGGAAGGAGCCTCGACCCACTTCGCCCGCACCTATACTGCGCCCACTGAACCGGGAGCCACCGGCGAGCAGCAAGAGACAACTCCACCAGCAACAGAGGTAGCAAAGGTTGATGTGGCAATCATACAGAGTATTATCGTAGGATTTAGCGTGAGACTCCAGTCAGACCCAGGGGGCCCTCCGTGCTTTTAAGTTGATGCGCAAGCCGGCTAAGCAGGCCAAGCTACATGCCTCCGCCGCACAGCTTGAAGTTCCCGCTACTGCAATGTACCGCTGCCCTCCAGTGTTTCAGTCTCCCAGGACCTCTAGAGATTATGCCATGGAACAATATCACCATCAGTATGTGAACCCTGCTCTCCAGGAAGTCAAATGCAAACGAAGTATTGACACTTTGCAGCCTCCCATGCCCGAAATAGTTATTTATCCGTGGGCGTTTCTCTTGCGATTATGTAATATGAAGCCCGACGAAGATATTCAGTGCGTAACAAATCATTTGTTCACATCTACTGTAGAATTTCTCCACTTTTCTCGGCATTGTTTTCTTTAGGGAAGCTCAACCGAAGCATTTTTTTCAGGCCTTTAGACAAAGGAAACCCTACTGTAGGTCTAAGGACCAGTCATACCCAGAGTAAGATAGAACGAGATATTTCTATAAACAAAACCGGAAACACAGCCCCTCCTAGCCCTTGTTGACCTGTTTACAGAGGAACCCACGGATGATGGTGGGCCGCTCTTCGACAATTATCTTCGGACAGATATGAACACTCGTCAGCTTTGTACCTTTGGGGATGATTCCAGTCTTTTGGCTATGGCGAGATACACCCGTCGCCAGGACAGCACTCACGTTCACACTTTCCTAAATGCTTTATTGATAGGATGACCCAGACCGTTCGTTTCCTGCAAGCGCACCAAAACTTAGTTTTTCGCAATACTACCACGGCTAGGCTCAATTGCTCTCAGACCATGGACATCACAAACATTTCCAACACCGAGGCCATCAGCTTTTTCCCATACGAAAACGTCCCCACAGATTTGGCCACCAACCACGAACACAGACACCCACACACTCTGCACAAAACCCTAGCAGCCTACTTGCTTCGTTTCAGGGCATACAACCCCTTCTCCAACAGGCTATGCAGGATGGCAGTATCGATGGCATTGATTATGGCAAAGGTGCCCGTAGATCTGACAAAGGTAAAGGCACAGCCCCCAAACATGGGGGAAAAGCCTTTTATAAAGGCAAAACGTCGGAAGCTCCCACCGGTAAGGCTTGGCGTTCGCAACGGGAGGCTTGGTACTCCTACGACTCGTGGCAAGATGCGACCTCCAGCCAAGAAGGACCCAGAGTAGGCACAGGATTTACCGTACCCCACAATGAGTCTTGGACTTGTTGCCCTTCCCGAGATAACCGCGACAATCGCCATTCCCAGGATCGCCGCAAAGGCGACAATCCACAACGAGGATTTGGAAGAGGCCGTAAGGGCCAAGATGCAGATTACTCCAGCCGTCCGGCAGATTCGGCCTATGTTTGTCCGTGTGCCGAGTGCATGTGTCTGCTTGCTTCGAACACTAGATGCCAGAACTGCTCCGGAAATCTAGGCGCTACTATGTAACCTGGAAAACCTCCGCGCGCCACATCGGTACTCCCAACTAGAGCCTTCTGACCAGCCCATAGTACGTGGCTTCCCCTGCCCTTTCCTGCTCCTTAGTAGCGACCCCTGCAAGTGCATTCTTTACGGCACTGAACAATGTTTGGGATGCCAATGCTACCAAGAGTGGCTTGTACGTTACTATGGCCCTAACTTCAACGACCTGCCCAATCCAGCACTCCCCTTAGTGCCAGGTTATGAACACGCGCTCTTTCAACCGTTCCTCCAAGCCTCGTCACGTAGCTAGATAAGATCGTGCACCACTGCGACAAATGCCTGGCCTAAAGGACAAACCACATTTAAGATGCCCAACAATTGGTTTTGTAAATCTAAGGACCCTACGTTTCAGAACCTTGCCTACCTGCTTGAGATGAGTGACGTTCAGGATTCGAGCATGACTTTTTGATTCCTTTGAATTACCGGACCCCAACTTGGTGGAAGGTCTCAAATCCCAGCGCATCACCCTAGACTTGCTCCCATGGAAGTGCCTGTAAACTTAGCTCTCCGCTGCCTGCCTGGACCACAGCCGTATTTGAAGATTAGTACACGAGAAGCTTTCAGGCCTTGATGAGGATTTGATTGATCAGTTCAAGTCGTATTTTGTTGAACCCATTGTAGTGTGAGGCGTTTACGTTGCTCCCCGCGGAATCGAATTGCCACGACCTCCTGGTAGTTCTAGTTCTAGTGTGGATCGTAATGCAACTCCAATAGCGTGATTCCCCATATCCTCGGAAAGCCCAGTACCTTACTCCCTGACAAACACCTATGCCAGGTGCTGTCTTCTGAGCGATCTTTTTCGCTGCCCCCTTCTGCTGGGCCCTCTCTGCTGGGACGCTTACCTTACGAAACACTTACGACATGATTGGGCCCTTCCAAGAGTAATTTGCTTCTCCAATACCAGAGTGCGGGCCCGAGGGCCCTCTATGGCTATGAGCCACACTTACGTTCGGAACATTTACGCCAACAGCTGCGCCGGATTCTCACCCAGTTTCACTCTCAGTGTCACCAACTAAGGCAACTGAGGGCAGTGGCGCTTCGCGTAGCAGGTAGTTCATCCGGGCGTTTCCTTCACCTTGATCCCCGTTGTTACTCGTTTCCCCCGGCTGTTTTTATATGTTATTGGTACAGCTTCTATAGCAAAGCGTTTCTGTTGGTTTTCGCCTATAGAAGAGGCAGCTCTTCTGAGCTGGAGACCACTCGGCGCCTACACTTTATGGGATCGTGCGACACGCGGTTGCCTCCAAGGGAGGTGAGCCGAGAAGCCGCAGGCATCTCTTGACGCAGTACAGACGAGTGGCACCCGACGACGACACTTACGGTACGACACACTTACCTTATGATGGTGTGCAATACACCGGATGCGACGACACGTTACGGTATGTTACACTTACATTATGACCAGGGCGCGTCGCCCAGGAAGCCAGGCGGTTACCAACACCGCAAGACGCGCCTTTACCAGAGGTGGCTAGCAGGACGGCGTCAAACCCGACAACACTACAGAGAATGGCACCGCTATAACAAGGATTCCACCCTGAGGGTGAGCGGTGGTCAAAATCCTTTACCCCCGATCGACCTATGTAGAACGCCACTATAAACGCATTAAGCTGAGCTCTTTACAATCACCCATCCATGCCAGCAACCACTTTCGCTCGGTTACTAGTCCGCTTACGATTCCATTACCAACCTCTACTCACATTTGTTTGATGTCGTGGAACATCAAGGTTTATACGAAGTGGTAAAAATATGACAACCTCATCCATTATTGCTCGCAGAAGAAAATTTCACCGCTATGCGCTCAAGACACAAAGGTGTCCTCCTCTCATATTTTCGAACTCTTACGTCAGTTCTGCTTCTGATAAACATCATGGTTTAGGGTTTTCCCCTCAACCCCGCTCTCATGTCCAGGAGTTTGAACCCCGTTCACCCCATACATGGGAGATTACCATAGACACTCTCCCCCCACCCTACCACGGTCGTCAACATATATGCACCCAGTACAGTTAAACCCCTGAGACCGATAGAGATCAGAAAGCCCAGTTCTGAGCAGATTTGGAAGATCTTCTGCTCAATCACAACAGCTCTTCACATCTCCCGCTGTTGGGCATTGTAATTCCCGATTGGACGCTAACATTGACCCCACTTATAAAGTTGGTCCTCACGTTATACGTAGAGGACAACCATACCCGAACCAGAACGAGACAACGTTTTCTTTTGGACATCCGGTTGCTTTCTCTCCCAAACTTTTTTTTGGATTTTCCGTTTCGAAACAAGGTCTCTAAACAGAAAATAACTTGTACCGATCATTCTTTAGAGACTCAAGATGTGCTCCATTGGACGACGGTTGATTACCTTATACAGCCACAAAAATTACGAATTATTGTAACATTTGGGGCACATGCTTGCAACAACATATTAATAGCCGACATCTCCCACTTGCCTTCTTTTGTCCAGACCCAATATCTGGAAAAACCTCCCCCTTCACGGCGCGATCGTTTTGATTATACCCAGCTCTCCTAATGCAAAAAAAACCCTCCCTCTCGCCATTATGGATAATGAGTTTCGAACTGAACATGTCAATGCCCCCTTCATTTCCTGTCCCGGTTGGGGCTTTATGGTCGAGTCACCACCGCTATCAATCCCAGGACTCACTCCCAAGTTGATGATTCTTGGCTCTGCTCCTTGGGACCTGTTAAGGCCAACCCCACGGACCACTTCGGCTTCAGGGCTCCGATAATCCTGGTGAACTCAAAGCCCTTATCGAACTCCTTGATTTTTTCCCCTATTAGTCGCCCTAGCCAGATTTAGTGCAATTTGTCATATGTACTGATTCACATGATGCCATCTCAATCCTCCAAGGGGACGTCATCCCCATCACGCACCACCAACTCATGACAACTGCTCAGAGACACTGAACGGCCATTCCGCCATTCGCTGTAAGTACCGCGCTACCATCCTTAAGGTCGCCTCCCATGTAGACGTTCCCGGTAATGAGCTGGCCGACACCCTTGCGGCGGCGTACACGGACCCTCCTCCTTGAGCCGTTTTTCTACCTAACCCAGTGCAGCCCCTCTCTCCTCCGGATGTTGATTTCAACATATTTCAACCAAACATACTGGACTTCGAAAGCCTCTACTGAACAGGATGCTGTCAACACTGACTCCATCAAGGCAAATCTCCCTCTCGTACCTTTACTCCCTCAGGCCGCCAACAAACCATGGATCCTGGGTGATAGTCGTAACCGCATTGGTTAATTTCAAAACACTACATGTACTGATATGCCTGCACTCAAAAGAGCCCGGCAACAGATTCAGCAAACAACTCGTAAGCATAAAAATAAGTTTATAGCGCAAAATCCCTTTACCGACTTTCAAGGCGGCTCCGCTCAACAATGGGCCCTGGTGCGGCAGAATTGCGCTGATTTTAAGCCGTGCTCCGCTGGATTACATAACGTTAACGGTAAACTAGTCTTCTCCTCTCAACGCTCCAAACAAAACCTTTGCGGAATATCTCTCTACCAACATATGGGGCTCCGCACAAGATCCGCCAGTCCCCGTGTCCAATCCGCAGCTTGAACTTTCATCGATTCACTCACCGTTTACTATGCAAGATTTAGACAACGCTTGCAGAAACGTAATCCTAGCCCCCAGCGACATTCTTGGCGAAATTTACAAGCATGCTCCTGTTGTTTTGAAGTTATGTGTCCTTGATCATTACAACCACTGTTATACTCAGTGCTCCATCCCAGAGTCTTGGCTCTTCTCTGAGGTAGTCATGCTCGTGAAGAATCACCAAAAAGATACGCGCTCCCTTTCAAACTGCCGCCCCACTTCTCGTACGAATGTATCATATAAAACTTTCGCCTCCATGCTCCAGCCCCGACTCGAGTCTCATGTAGACCAACGTATCGATCCCACCCAGTACGGTTTCAGAAAGAATAGACCCATCACCCAGCCCATTCACGTTATGCGTCGTCTGCTGGAAGTTTTTGAACGACAGAATACCCCATTCCATGCGATTTTCTTGGATTGGTCCAAAGCATTTGACCCCGTAACCTTCACAGCCATTCAGCCCGCAATGGAGCATGCCGGTGTACCAGCCCACATCCGTCGGGTCATCATGGCTTATACAGTAACCCCACCTTCATGGTCCGCGACTCCTCTCAAAAATCTTCCCAGTAGACCCAAACCACTTCCGACACGGATGTCCGCTATCCCCGTACTTATTTGGTCTCGTAACAGGCTTGCGCTTGCTCACCTTTCCTATGACGGTGAGAATAGCTATCAAAATTTGTGCCGGGAAATTTCGGGAGTTTTTCATGTCCCCTTCCGCTGTGGGACTTGGAATATGCAGAGGCCTTACCCTTAACCAGGAAAAGAATGAACATCTTCGTATGCATTCACCTTAGACAATATACTACTCCCCCCATTCATCTCAACCATGTGACTGCCGTTTTTGCCGTGGACACAACCATGACCTTTCGCCTGTCCCGTTATCAGATGAAGTCAAATACCTCGGAGTCTACCTCGACTCCCTCTCTTCCAACCGTAAGAATTTTAAGTATAGAATATCACAAGCAGTTACCGCCGTACTGCCTCTGAGTTATTTCGCCCTCTGCTTTCACACTCCGCCCTTCCTCCTTGGAAACCTACAGTACAACGATCTATTGTTTTATGTATCCTCACTTACGCAATGGACAAGGCGCTCCTATCCCCGGCACGGATCCAACAAATGAATACTGTTCACTAACGCTTCACTTTAAGTCTCTTCAGACTTCTTCGCCGCATATTCATAGAATTGAGCCGTCTACTACGGATTGCTCAAACGAAAACCTGCCACATCTTGCCGTCTCCACGCGGCGTTCCCACCCCGTCACAATTATACTCACAATAAAGATTCCAGCTCTTAGGTCACTTGTATAAACATATATAAACATGTGGACACGCCAGAATACCAAGTTAGGTCTATGGGCTCCCATGCCTACGTCGCAGATTTTGCTTGCAGGAGGTGGCCTCGGCCCCCACTTCGGTGCATGCACACTAACTTGTACCCGGAAAATCTGAACCACGAGTTGTTCCAGCTTGGTCAAGCACTTCTCTGCACCCGCCAACGAAGCGACCTATCGCTTCTCGTATTGCGGTTGTCTACTTGTGGGCAGGGTTTACGTGCCGGAGACATGTGTATCTCGGTGGCGGCGACGCCGCACAATTGCTGCCGGTTTTGCTTGAGGCATGGGACGCTGAGGGCCGAAACGTTATATCACTTTGCTAAGGAGTGCCCGTTAGGAGCTCATGCTTCTTTGCCGCATGATCTGCATGACTACGTCCTGGCACCGGCTAGCTGGATAACTCTCTCGGCATCCGAGAAGCGAATCATCCTTCTCTGCATTGGGGAAGACGTGGCGCTCGCGCATGGCTTGGCTTCGAATTGAACATTGCAGTCGTGTTTCGCAGAGGCTTAGGTTTGCCCAAAAGTGGTGGCCTGCTCCTTAGCCTCCTTTCTGTTTGCCCCCAACGCCTGCTTGCCTAGCGTGAGTGCGTGTTGACGGCCAACAGTGAGTGCAATCAGACACTCCTCGAGTGCATCTTGCTTCGGGCCTCCAGAACAAAAAAACAGTTTCTGTTTTTGTGGCGGCAGGTAGCAGACATGGTTCAGAACCCGGGGAGGAGGCGACCGGTTGTCAATGCAATGATCCCAAGTGCACCAGAGCAAAGGCTGCATCACCGACAAAGGCATCATCGGCAACGGAGAAGAGGGCAAACGGCTACTTCTAGCGTAGTGACAATCGCAAGAAGGATGACAAGGCCATACTACTGACGAGTAGCTGCAAGCATATTCCTGTAGGTTTGTTATCTAGCTGCTCAGCAGCCAATTCAGTGTTTTTACTAACAACATTCACAGCATGCGGCGAGTCAGTCACGATTAAAGCTTTTGCTTGGTGAGATGCTGGAGCAAACACAAACCAAGCTTGAGCTTGGAAACAGGGCCGGCGTTCTTGCCTGGCCCCAACCAAGGCATCACACCCACACGGGGGGGACCATGAGGCCGAGCCCCAAGCGAGACCACAGGTACGGCCACAAGAAGGGGCGGCAGACGGGAATACCATGGGATGGGCGGGCGAGGCGGGAGGCTCAGGCCCTGCATCATGTATGTGCATACGTGCGTACGTGAGTACGTATGCATGCATGCGCGCAATGCATGGTCCTGCCTGCGCGCACAAAGCATGAATATGCTTCGGTTCTCACGTGCTACAAGCAAGGGTCATCGGCAGGTGGCAAAAGTGCGAAGAAGCTTGCCAAGGATGTTTTTGCCAGCCCCTTGGTTTTTCAGAAGCGACGCATCGAAGACAAACGAGGCCAGGGTGCTAGTGGAAGTAGGTTTGGACACTATGTGGTGATTGTCAACAGCTTTTCAAAAGGCAGCAGATCCATATGATTTGTTCATCGCTTTTAGCACAGGTTTGTGGAGACAGTGCTGGAGGAGGTTTGGCATTGGCAGTGCCGGACTCGCCGCATGATTCACTGAGTTGGTGTACGTGTCAGCATTTGTTCGGCTTTCTGCTTCAACCTGTCATGAGGCTTGCCTCTCTCAGTCTGCCGCCGTTCGCAGAAGCATTCGAGGAGTCATGGGGTACGCCGCTTATGAACCTCGACATTGCGCGATGGGTATCAGCTCATACTGGCAGGCTGTCTGCCTGGGCTGACTTGACTGCATCAACACCCAGCTACGATTCTCGCCAATGGTGCTCCGCCACGCTTTCAGGTGGACCTTGGAAGTCATGGAATCCTACAACAAACGTTTTGTTCCTTGAGGTGATGCCGTCAATGCTGGTGTTGATCGTATCAGTGGGAGGGAGGAAGCGGAGGGATACTTGGGACGTTCGCCCGACTGAGTTGTGAGCTTTGGTTCGATGCAGTGGCAGTGACTTCATAACAGGCGGCGGTGTGGAGCTTCACGGCATGGAACCCAGAGGGAGACTGCAAAAGGGCAAGGAAGTCGCTCGTGCACAGGTCGCGACTGGCGTGCTAGCCCGTTCTTTGCCTCGCCTCAGCGCCTGCGCTCCTTACCATCGGTCTTGCTGCAGGCGCAAATGCGCCTTCACTAGACTGCCAAGTGAAGCTGCGTGGTGATTTGTTTTCCGGCTCTGCAGACTTTCCGGCTTGCTAACATGTCACAGGCCGAGAGGTGCATGACAGGAATGCTGAGTCGATTTGTGCGAATTGCAAAAGCGTCGTTCGGGCATATGGTCCGGGTCAGCGACATGCGGCAGGTTGGAGATTTCGAGCTGATTTTGGACGAATCCGCTTGATGCTCGGCTTCGGGCACCGGCTCTCTTCGCTGGTGCAGGTCGCTTGCACCGTAGGTTAGCATATCAGGTCCTTCTTCAGCAGCGCCTACGAAAGCTCGGTGAGTGGCTCTGTTGCTTCGGAAACAAGTTCGCGTAGTGAGACTCGCAGCTCTGTATCCATGAAAGGTCATCCAGATGCAGAGGTCGCAGTTTACCCCCGAATGTGCGCTGCATTGAATGGAAAGGTTTGGATGTGTGATTCATCACTTTATATCATCTTGCCGTGTTGCGGAATCACCTCTGTCTGAGGTGGCACTGCTGGCATCAGTACGAGGAGGGGAGTGGTCGGGCTCCCAAACCCAGCTATCAGCTAGCAGTGATCCAACATCGGCGATGATGCTCGCTCGAGAGCAGGTGTTGCACAGCAATCAATGTACGGCAGAGTGGCACAAGACAATTGGAAAGAAGTTCCTGTTTGCCGGAAAGTTATCTGGAGAAGAGCCATCAAATGACGGCATAAATAAAGAGCAAAAGTGTGCGAGAAAGAAACAGAAGACAGACAGCTTGATCAGGAGATTGGGTCAATTGCGATATTACCTGATAGACCAAATGGTAGTTTGCACTGTTTGTGCTGCTGTATTCATGTTAAACTTCGTTGGCAGTCTTTAAAGTCTTCACGGAGATGGGGCATCAAGTTTGGTTGGTACATTGCATCAAAGATGATGTCAGCTAGACATGTCGTCGTCGGGCTTGACTGTGCATGCATTATCTATATAAGTTCACATGTGGTGTCGATATGTTGCGATATGACGCCCTCGTGGCGGCGAGGCCTGGAACAGCCGTTGCTCCAAGCTCGCAAAGCCCTCCGGGACCTCGCAAGCTGGGCCTGAAACTTGTGCTGAGCTGCAGTGGCAAGTGCTTTGATCAAATCCACGTCATGTTGCTTTCAGGTTCGTGCTCGCAAATCTTGACATTATCCAGCAATGAGTGTGGTATGTCACGGACAACAGTGCTGCCGAAAAGCTCTTTGTTTCAGAGTGCTGTTTGTGGCGCACTGTTGCAATCCACATCGCGAAGATCTCATTTGCTTAACTTTGGCTATATTGTGTCCGCAGCCTTGCAGACTTGAAGCCTATGGACCTATGTGGGAAATTCGCCAACGAAATACAGAATGCACGCACACTTGATACTGCGAATTAACTTGAGACGTTGTAGCTCTCTGCTCATGCGACATGGGCCGCTGTCGCAAGTGCTGTTTCTGCCTGTGCTGCCCATGCTGTTTTGTACTCGGCACTTTGCCAGCCATCCTCTTGCCAGCAGCTTAACCTGTAGGCATGTACGTTATCGGCATGTGCAGCAAAACTCACTGAGATACACCAGCAACCTTGATGGATTGAGTGATTGCCCGACTTGCGGTTTTCGGGCCCCGCGCTCCAAAGATCTCCGAGGGTTCTCCCGTTCAGTGCTGTCGTCCTGTGGTGCACTACTCTCCTGTTTTCCTACAAATTTACGCAGTGGTGCAGTGCTATCGGATCATCATTCCCTGCCCGATGTCAAGTCTGCACATGATTTACTCAAAAGCCTGTACTCCTAGCCGGGGCTCGTCGCAATGCACTGAAGGTGCAACGTTTTACTTCGTTGTGTAGTTTGCCGTAGAGTTACAGACACCACCAAGCTAGTAGTTTCGCCCCCCGACTGGTGGGGCACCAGCTGAGATCAAGTCTGCACTAGGTGGGCATTTAAAGGCCGTGTCCAGGCAAATGCTTGTTGTGTGGCGAAGGCAGTATAGCAGCGAAACTCCCAAGATTTTTGCACAGGATTGAAGCAGCTCTGGCATCTCTTCGTCAAGCGGTGCAGCCGGGCTTGGCCACAGTAACCGTTGACAAGAGGAATGACAGTCCTCCGGAAATCACAGAAAGACACGTAGCTCAAATCAGCAAAGTTGCACACGCAGGGCCAAAGTAAGCTGCAGCCAGCTGAGAAGGGGAGGCAATCTGCATGGGCCTGCATGCAGACACAGCATGCACAACGACAGCAGTCATCGAACTGTTTGAGGAAACGAAACACGGCTTTCCCAGGTTGTATACAGAGATTTGTGGTGCTTCGCGGCAGGTTTTTTTGTGGAAGATGCCATTTGCGAACATGGTCGGTTGGCAGCGGCCATGCTGTGAATCTCGAACATTGCCATGTTCAACAAATTGTTGAAGCCACAGAACTCTCCAGCTTATTCGTGAGAGCATTGGATGCTTTGCAGTTTAGGTTCTTTCCTGAGTAGACCGCAAAACCATCCCACATGGAATCGAAAGTATCCAGCATTTGGCACGTGAGCCGGCAGAGTGTCTCAGCTGTTCATGGAGTTGCTCTGCGTATCCTCTGTCAATGTCATCTTTTCTGAGCTTCAATGCGCTCGATAGCACAGGCGCTTTTGGGACAAAGTTCGCCGAACGATAGGGGATCGTAGTGACCTTCATCGGGTGTCCGTCCCACGACAACGACTTCTCGTTAGGGACGACGATCGGTAAGAAGGAAGTAGAGCGACAAGGTGGCAGTTACGGCATGCACCATTTTCTGTCACATTCGGCCTTTCAGCATCCATCGTTGTCCAGTCTGAATCACGGAAGACTTGTGCCACAGGCTGTGCATACACCTTAGCCCAACCTTCAATGGATCATGAGTGGAACATTGCAGAACGCCTGACGCCCACAGGTTGGGAAACTTCGCACGTTAGATTGCGTGTTGAAAATTTCTACGCTTGGTAGTGTTTTCCCCGTCGGAGCGGCTTACGGTTCAAAATATCGGCGTCGAGATTATTCGATTCTTTTGCATGGGTGGTTCTGTTGGACTTTCTAAATTACCCCCACAGCTCTTTGGAGTCGTTGACCGATTCAACTGCCACCTACTTGTAGCTTAGGCTTGGCGCCGTGCTGGCGCTCTTCCTAGCACTGGCATTTGCAGACCGGCAGATGAACTTGAGCGAAGTGGAGGAGCTTTGTGACTCGGATTTCTGAGATGCCAGCTGGCATGCAGCCTTTGCGAGCCCGTGAGCCTTGAACCCATAAGGTGAAGCCGCCGCCTATTTCATGGATACGGAGTCGCTTAGCGGAAGCGAGAAGAAGCCGGCTACTCTCACGCGCATGCTGACCGGCAGGCTGGCCCATATCGTCGCTTCGCAGAGGAACCTCGATGCATGGAACGAGGTGTGGGATAGTGCAGGGCATCGCATGGCACGGAAGGGCAGTAGCATTTTTCAAGCAGACTTCCAGTCCAGAGGTCTGCCGAGAAGTCTTTGACAACTTGAGCCTCGAGGCTTTGAAGAGCTTGTCCTTTGATCTTGCCTTCTGTCGTAGCAGCCTGTGAATTCTGTGACTTCTTCGTGTTTAGGCGCAGCAGCTGCTCCGGGAGATGCTGTCTTCCGGCCGTCATCGCAAGGACTGTTATCTGCATATTCTGCATGCAGTGCTGCCGTGAAACTTAGTGTGAAACTTCGTGGCGGCCAGCAAAAGATTAACGTGGCGCGCATCCTCCACCGATTTGTGGCAGTGCAGCAATGCGAGCAGATGCGGGCAGGAGCTGATAGATTGGGAAATCGACGCGGCTTGGAAACATTGAGGTCACTCCTAAGACGGGAACCGGCTTGTTCACGGTGCCGAGGGACGAAGTGGCCGATGGAAGCAGCAGGTCATCGCAAGTGTTACGAATGGCACACTCAAGGAGAAGGCAGAACTGCCGGAGTTTGCAGCCTGACACAAGCATCCTTTCGGGTATGCATTGCCGTGTCGGATGTCCGGATGTCGGAACCGAGGTTCCATTGCATCAGATTCCAGTGGCTTTCAAAGATGCCAGGGTATTGAGATTCAATGGCCGGGAACTTCTTCCAGACAGCATGTTCAATGCAACGATGGCTGACATAGCGCGAATCTTGGGAGCATTGAGCTTGCATAGTGATTGCACGTTCGTGTTGCCTTTTTTGGCTGTAGCCTGCTGGAGACACTTCGGCTCGAGACCTGGGACCGCAACTCTGAACCCAAGGACTTCATCCGTACTCGGCCGACAGCACCTTCATGTTCGGAAGCTCGGAATTTGCAATGGATTGATCTCGTGCATTGATGTCCTGGTCCAAGTGCTTGCCTCGCTGCGTCCCGAGGTTCTTTTGATTTTGGGGGCTCTGTCTGTCGCATATTGTTGCTGCTTCCCGTGACGCGATTCTACCCGCGAATCGGTCACAAAGCAATTTTCCCTGCACAGCCCTTAGCATACTGTATCTCCTGGAAGATGGGAGGGGGCTTTGAATTCTTCTGCGCGAGCCTTCAATAGGAGCTTTGTGACTGCAAGGTAATGAGGTCCGTTATGGTGACGCTGGCGCCGCTCGGGCGTCTTACCGTACTTTTTGTCACAGCCCTTTGTTGCTCCAAGTCTCGGAAGACACGAAGTGCCGAGGAGCTTCTGCAAGCTGCAGCCAATGACATACTCCGTCGAACACCCGGAGAGGTTGCTGGCCATAGGACCACGCGGTAGTTGCGGTGCGCTTTTCATTTGCACGATGAATGCTTCGATTTTACAATCCCTTGGCCCCCATGTCGTTTGGCAGTCGTTCTGGCATGTTCTGGCACCATTCTGACTGGCGAATCCTCCAGATTGGTCTTTCACACGTGTTGCTACGCATCGAAACTTGCAACTGTCTTCGAGGGAGGTTTCACGTGGTTTAAACGACATCTCTGGCGGTTTCCAGTGCGGTTGTAAAGCGCGAACTGTGATCGTTCATATCGTTCAAAGCAATGGCACTCGAAGCTACTGTCTACACTGTCTACACTCATCTATTCCTTGTTTGATGCTCGCTTGTTTCAACACATCGTTTTGGACATTCCCTTCCAGCTTTGCTGTTGAGTCTTATCCTGAACCACTCGCAGACGCTGGCAAAACGTCGGCGACTGTCAGCAACACCCGGTTTCGCCTGCACCTGGGCTGGCAGGACCAGGTAATGTGAATCTGCGCCGTATCCCCAAGTTCGATGGAGGCAGCCCGGACTACTTCCCAACATCGTACAAGCTTAAGCGCTGCGCAATTCGTAACTGTTTTCAGATTCTACTCCCACCATGTGCGATGCAGGCCTTAATGTTTCTGGTCGAGTGGGGCTGGGAAGCCAATCAACGAAACTTGTTTAACACTTGAGATTGCGCTAGGACGGGGGCAGGCTTTTGCAGGATGTGCACAGTGAATCATGGCTGCATAGGAATGAGTGATTCGAACGGAGATTACGTTTTGACTCTTCCGACTTGACAACTGCAGGAGAGGTCTTAGTCTGCTCTGGTATGGCGTCAATCCAACCAAATGGTGGCATACTCTCCACACGGACGTGCAGGCACAGGTATCTCGAAAGTTCACAAGTTCCATAATGCTAGAAACCTCAAGAAAGCTTTGTAGGACAACGTTTTGATCGAGCTCGTGTCGGCAACAAACGTCTACGTTTTCCCTCGCGAGCTCTTCTGGAACGCATCCTCAGATGTCAATATCACTGGGGAGTATCATAAGATCAGGCAGGTGTCCGCTTGCTTTTAAATGCGCGTCATGGTGGGTTCTTGTGCCAAGTTGCAGTCATGCGGTTCCTTGGAAAGGCTAGAGCCGGGACAGGGGGTTGCCATCCCGAGCAACTTCCTGCATACAGTGGAGCATTTGTCGGAGCGCTTCGCTTCTTCATTGCAGCTTCGACTGTAGGTCCACTGTAGGTTTTCGTGAGGTTGTCTGCATGTCCATAGTCCGCAGGACAGCCGCTTGGCTGTCAATTACTTCTTTGAACCCGAATTTGGTGAAATGCAATGGCCAAATGCCCGAATCTCAGCTTCGACTGTAGAGCTGATAGTCCAATTCCTTCTGCCCTCGCCCACCGACGCCAGGGCAAAGGCAATTATTACACTGAAATGGCCAAAGCCAACAAATCGCTGCGTTGTTGCAATTGCAGTTATTAACTGCGCAGCATGCAGTTCTATTTCAAAAGCCAAGGCATTTGGCCATGAGATCCTTATGGTTTGGTTCCGTTGGGCAGCTGTGGGACAGGTGCAGCGTTGCCTCTGGGATGTGTCTGCGTGATTGTGTGGACAAGCCTGGGCAGGTTCAAGATTGGCATGTACATGCTCTCTGGCAGCTTCGGGCCAGCGTGTGCGAGCCATGTTTGCAAAGTAGCTGATTTGGTTGATGAGTGCTAGCTGAGGCACAGCTGGAAGATGGAGGTGCTTTAAGATGCAGCAGATGTCTGCTCTACCGCATGATGAGCTAAACCTAGATAGCTTTGTCAGCCCGCAGACAAAGTGTGCATGCGTTGAAAATGAGATGTTCCACCGCATTGTCTCATCATGTTGTGAAGGTTTCGAGACAGAACGCATGAGGGCTGACATTCGCGACCCATCCACCTAAGGTCTTCGACAGGACAATTCCGACACCATGATGTGTAGAACCACTAATCAGGGAAAGCTTGCCACCACCACAGGAGTTGTCAGTACCTCTCGGAAACATCACGCCACATCTCTGCATGCGACGAAAACAACATCATGATTACCCTTGTCAAATTAACGAGGGAGTCCCTAAAACGAATCTCGTTATGTATGCTTTGAACAGTTTGTGTTGAAGAAATGTGCAGAGCAACCGTCGCCGGCAGGGTAGTGTCGCTCGAAGCACGGTGCGAATGTGCAAGAGTGAATTTCCGGTAGGGGTCCTCGTCTCTGAGGCACAGCAATGCCCCCGAAAGTTAAGCATGACCAGAAGCAAGCTTAGCCACCGATGGGCATTGCTTTACCCACAACCCATAACCCTAACGCTAACTCTAACCCTGAACACAACTATAATATGCAAGAGCGACCAGTGCGAGGACTTTGGCCAGGGCCGGCAACCACACCGCAAGTGCACTACCCGAGACCGTGTGCCTCCCTGCGTCACCGCCAAGGCCTCGTTTTCCCCGTCGCGAGCGTTTGTTCCAGCGCACTGTCGATGTCGGTGGACCCATACCAGAGCCACTTCGATCTCAAGGCTTGCGGTCAGCCAGTGTGCCACTGTGTTGCATGCAGACCGCCAACCACCGCCGCGCGCACCAGCAGTCCATACCTGCCTGCAGAGCTGGCGTTGCTCGATAAGCCCGGCAAGCGCTGAATGCCAACACCAAAATCAACCGATGGTACCACTAAACACGAAGAGCTCCTGTCATGCCTCTCTCCGCCTCTGGTGTCGGCCTGCCGTCTGTCGGCCATCCATGGCCTCGATTATGTCATCACGTACATTAGCTCCTGCCTCTCTTGACAACAATTCTGGCATCGTTCTTTCCCTTCGGCATGTATGGGGTCCTTGTGCGTCATTTTGCCATACTTTTGATGCTTGCAGCGTGTACTGGGATTCTGCGCCGGTGGCATCGATCCGTTGCACACCTACAGTGCCAACGTGGCACGAGCTTGAGATGATTTTGCCATCCCTGTGATTACAGAATGTGAGAACTGCGCAACTCGGGTTTCCATGTGAGTGAGTCATATGTGGATTGGTTGATGCCGCTCTGCCTAAAGGAGTTCAATCCACAAATGTCCGAAATTCATCCCTCGCCATTGCTGGTCGAACCCGATATAAGCGGACAACAACACAATGCGCTTGTGACAGGTGGCGCCTGGGTTTCGGATCGACTCTTCTGCTCTTGCATAACTTCACAGCAGGAGGCGACTCCACGCAGCATCAGGTCGAGCACCCGATCCGACTCAAGGCCCTCTCGCAGGAAGTGCAGCCCTAAAAGAGTCGGCCGGCGCTTCCACTCCGAGGCCCGAGGTCGAGCAAACGGCTGCTTTTGCAATCTTGCGCTCCCGCCCCGTCATGTCACCTCTATCGCCCGCCACAGTGCATTGTTATCGCAAATTATCGCAACCTCGATCTGCCTGTTGCTGCGGCGCATCCCGATTTGCAAACGCTTCTTCCTGTGCAATTCTCCTCACAGCCTTCTCCCAGCCCTGCACGGAGAGGGACTCATTCTTCTGGCTGTTGCGGCGGTAACAACGGCGTGAGGCGAAGGGCACTGCGCAGAAGCTGCACGACGTTCTCATAAGCGCCCTCTGTAAACTCGGAAACCCTCCCGGCGTTTGGTCACAATGGGTGCTTGGACTTTGGCTACAAGAAGATTTCATACTGGTGACACGCCCTTGTTGAATCTGGCCCTGGAAAGCCGCCAATTGCCACATGCCACGTGGGAACCCGCGAACAATCTGCGAAAACCACGGAACGGTCTTGAAACATGGATTCGCAACGCAGAAGGCCAGGAGGGTCAGCCAAAGATCCGTTTGTTTGCAGAAGCATGGGCGCGGCCAACCACAGATCTGGAGATTTTCTGTTGTTCCAAGAAGAGAAGAGAAAACGAAGGTACGCCGGGCACCTTGCTTGCGGTAACCTGCTAGCAAGTAAACCCCTCTGCACCGATGAACACCTACATTGCATGGCCGTGTCAAGAATTGTTCGGCATCGTTGGATTGCTGCTACTGGGGGGTTGTGTTAAGTCGTCCCCTCCTGTGTGAAGTCGTCTCCGCGTGCGTGCACACTGGGGGGAAGCCATTCTGGACAATTCCCGGCAATCGGTACAGCAACACAACTAGGATCCCACCCCACACTGGGGGGCAGCGCCCGGGGTGGTCGCATCACCGAGCGTCTACTTGGGGATTCGTGATCACGTAAATTCAGGATCGTGTTGATGTTTGATTGCTGAAGCTTGCTTGCTGGGTGCTGGAAAAATCGAGCGTCCACATGGAATTTTCTCGAGGGGGTGCTTGTGAAATCGAGCGTGTACATTGGCTGCTTGTGTGCGCTGTGATGGTATAATGATGTGTGTCTCGAGCGGATGAGCGTCTATTTGGGGAATGGCTGGTTTTGAAGTGCTGTGATTTTACTGCTGTTTGCGTTGAGCGGGCGCTTCTGGAAACGAGCGTCTACATGAAGAACGGCTTGTTTTCCTCACGTCTTCGTGCAGTATAAGTCATTATAATGCCAATGATGTGTGTCTTGAGCGGGCGTTTGTTACATGTCTGAAAGCGCGTGCACATGGTGATTAGTTGCCAAATTGGCAGGCTTTCAAGGCATCAGGACAGAAATTCCCTAAGAAACCCTGCGCGTGGGACTCAAAATCCTAAGTTGACGTGCTAGGAAGCGCGTGGCCATGGGGAAAACGATGTGCAGCCTTGCTGTGGGTGTGACTTCACACGCCCGGGTGTGACTTCACGCGTTCCCGCATGGCCATGCGGTGGGGCGACTTCACGCGCCTGGGGGCGACATAACGCTACCCCTTGTGGCTACCAGCTTGTCATGTCGATTATGCAACTTGCATTGTTCCAGGGCTACATGGTACACGCCTGTGGTTCTTATTATACTACCACGTGGGATTCTGATGAATGAGCGAGACTCTTTGTATGATCTGTTGGATTTGGCGTTGTCGAAAGCGCTCTGCCCAGTCTGTGGTGATTTGAATGCTTGCATTGGTGGCATTAACCATGCGACGATGACACGTTGATTGGCGAATGGGGAACGGGTAGCCGGAACGATCGTGGTGGACTGTTCGCAACCTGGGTCATGTCCCACCAGTTCCACATCTTGAGTCGATTTGCGTGTGCACAGCCGCCTTCCGATAGCTGGACATGCCACCCAGCGGGCGACGGTCATGTTACACGAATTGATTTCATACTTGTTGACCTGCGATTCGGCCCGAGTGCAACTTGGAATGACCACTCGATCCACTCGACTGGCACAAGCGTGGACCGTCGGTGTGTTCATTGCCGCGTAAAGCTTCCAGCACAAGCCCAATGTGTCCAATGTGTCCATCATGGCCGTCGCCACAACCTGAAGCGCTGGAGGCCTTCTTGAACGAGGACACGCCACGCCAACGTTGCATTCAAGATTTCACTTGAAGATTTCACGTGTTATCGTTTGACTGTCTGGAAACCCAAGAATTACGGTTCATGTCGGTAAGATGATCTCAAGGTCGATCCGTCATCCGATTTGCAAGCCTTTCGTTCCGAACGACGCAACGCCAGGGCTCAAGATGCCCCTAAAAGTTTGAGGTTTCGCTTTTTCAGAAGTATCGGGCAGAAGTTCGAGCGTACTGTTTGTGAATGAGTCGCGGATGGTACAACAACCGGAACCGAATGAATTTGCAGATGTGCTTGCCACAACTTCGCTTGACCTTGAGAAGGACGTCCGTTATTGGCGTCGTGTCGCCATGCGAGCCCTTCGCCCCTCAACAGACCCGCGCCTGGTTGTTGTTCCACCATGTTCCACCACGCTCGGAACGCGAAGCTTTCTTGCAGCGCACGCGTGACTTCCTCGCTGGGAGATGGGATGCCCGGTTGGAGGCAGGCGCGCCACGCACCAGCCGCACAACCGACGTCCCCGACGCTGCTGCCGATGAGGCCGCCTGCGCCCGGCGCCGGGCACTTGCTTGTGCCAACGTGCGGCGGGGCGAAGTCTCCCGAGCGCGAGGCGTTGTGACATCTGCTGCGATCGCGCCGGGCACGGACGTGTCCGATCCGGCAAGGCCGCAGAACTCCTCAACTTTCATCCCCACTCGCCATTGTGCTCACCCACACCGCCATAGCTCTGCGGACTGCCAGACGTGGCACCGCTGCATGCTGGGCTGTCGGGTATACGTGTGAACACTACAAGATGCGCTCGACGACGCCGAGGCACTCGAGCTGTTTGCGCACACGGCTGACCTCCTCGCCGCCGCACGCGTGCCTGCAGACATCGCTGCCGCCTTTTGAGCCTCTCTCGGCTCACCCCGCTCCGCGAGCCCGGCGGCGGAGTGCGCGGCATCGCCACCGGCGACACATTCCGGCGTCTCGCGTCACGCGTTCTTGCACGGCTGTTCACCGCATGTTTTGATGAAACGACCCTGGTGCGGGCAGCAGTCTGCAGCAGTCCACTTACTGTTGGACGCGCCATACGTCAGGGCGACGGCTGCGAGATGCTGCGAACAAGAGGATGCTTTGGCCCCCACGCTGTATGCGCTTGGCCAACACGACGCCCTACACTCGCAGCTATGCCCAGGACAGGGCCTTTTTCGACGACGTTACCTCGTCACTACACGCGCTTGGGATCGGGCACGCCAGTCGCTCGATGTCGTTACGCCCCAGATGATTCAGCGCTCGCTTGCCCTGAAACCTCGAGCGGACAACTCTTACTTGCCACTGCTCGGGCCTAGCTTGGCTCTTGCGACATGGGGGCTTGCGAC